GTTAAAGCACTGCATTATGAAGCTCTCCAAGGCCACTGCAGCATGAGTTCGATCCTTGCCAGGGAGGAGATCCACATGGCGCGGCAGACCTCTCCTGACCCGCCCGCTGCTCCCCTCAGCAGTGTACTTCATCCGTCGGCCTGTTCTGCTCCCCGCTCTGTCTCTGATAAATCCTCTCACCCACCACACTTCTGGCCTGTATCCCAGTTTCGTAAACACAAATAAATAAATCTTTAAAAAAAAATAAGCAGAAATTATTTTGTTATCACAAAATATATTGTATATACAGAAGAATCTCTGAAATACACACAGGTTACAGGATAATGATTAAAAGGAACACCCAGGTGTCCCCCAGTTTAGCATATGGCAAACGGCCCATCTTGAAACATCCTTGCTGGCCCTCTCACTGACCTCCCACCCTTCCCTGGAGAGGCTCTGTAATACATCCCTCTGTTTTTCATAAAATCCACATGTATATCGCTAAAAAAATATATTGCTTGGTTTGGCCCGAGTCCAGCCGCCTGAGTGGTCTCACTGCCTGGACCTGGGCACTGTCCAAAGACCTCGCGGGACGCCGTGCTGTCTTTGTCTGTGTGGGGCCTGCCTCTACGTGCTCACCTGTGGCCTCTGCCCTCCCTCCACTGTTGTGTGACATGCACTGTGTTCGTCCCCACTGTGCAAACACCACAATGCCCCGCCCTGCCTGCTTGTGAGGGCTCCGCAAGGAAGCTTGAGGCTCAGAGGTGTATCCCGCGCTGGTCTCCAGGGGCCCGGGGGGGGGGGGCAGGTGTCAAGAGTTTCCCTAGGGCGCCCCCCTGAGAGCACGAAGGCAACACTCTCGTGTAGAACATGTCTCGCTTCTCTTTTCCAGGTCTATTAGACACTTCCCAGAATGACTGCCAACCGCTGGGCCAGTGAGAGCTTAGGCGTGTTTCTCGGGGGCTGCCCTCAGCCTTCCGTCTCGGCAGCTCGCCACCCCACGGCACCCCAGCCCACACGGCTGCCAGTGCTCAGAAAGGAGCGTGGCGACTTCCCGCTCTGCCTGCACACTCAGAAGACAGCATGTTTCTTGGGTGTGAGTCGGTGTGTGATGTGTGTAAAGCTCCCCTACCGAGGGGCACACACCCACTGTGGCCGGTGTGAAGCTGTCTCCATTTCCGCTGAACGGAAATGTGGGAAGCAAGGTCAGCAGACTGGGCGGTGCTGGCCGACCCCCAGGTTCCCCTCTTCACCCAGTGTCAGAACGGCCTTCCCTGAAATTGGCCAGCCCTGCTCTGCCCTTTCTCTGCAACCAAGAGGTTGTGCCCCAAGCCTGGATAGGGGTAGTTTTCCCTCCCATCTCCCTCTGATCTGGCGCCCAGGCCTGGCCCCTCTCCACCGGACCACCTGGTTATGGAGAAGATGCTTTGCCGATGATAATATTTTGTGCTGCCTCTTTCCACTTACAGGTTAGCCTGGGGAGGAAGATAAAGACATTTGCAACCAAGATGGTAATCACGGGTGGAAATGATGATGATAGAGGAAGCCAAGAAAAAGAGAGTAAGGAAGAGAGCGTGTTGGCCATGCTGGGGATCATTGGGACCATCCTGAACCTAGTTGTCATCATATTTGTGTACATATACACCACGCTGTGAGTGGCCCAGGGCCGTCGAGGCCTCGGAGTGGCCAGCTGATGGGCGTCCCTTGTGTCCTCCAGTCCGTGACCCAGCGCACACCGGCAGGCCCTTGACCCACGCACGACGCGGTGAGATGCGCCTTCGAACTTCCTAAAAAGTCACCAAATAAACCGATCTTGCTGCAAGGAGCAGATACTCAAGCACAATGAATCCAACAAAACTCACTCTCACAACCAGGAACTCAACGACGTGGGCAGGGGGCCCAGCAGAACGCCCAGAAGCCCAGCCTGGACCTCACCGCTAGCGGGCGGGTGCTGACACCCGCGGTCCCCACTGCCGGTGGAGATCACGCCTCAGAGGGAGGAACAGGACGCAGGACACGCGCGACCCGTCCACTCAGCGAGCTGCTCAGTGCGAAGCCACGGGGCAGTCCTCAGACAGGCATCCCACTCATCAAAAGTGTCTAAACTCTTTGATACCAGGGAGATAACTTATTTTTCTTTTTTCATTGGCTTGACGTGTGTATCTGTTCATATCGAGGTTTATAAATATATATTTTTAATAAATGTGCTCTATTTTTTAGCATGAACCAAATATTTGGAGAGGCGCCCCCAGATTCAGCGCTTTCCTTGTCTTATCTGCTTCGCCCCTAGACTGCAGATGTGTCATGTAATCATCCCACACTTAACCCTCCCTGTCTCTCTCTCTGTCTCTCTCTGTCTGGAGGATATTTTTCCAAACTACCAGCTGTGGTCTTGGTTGGTGCATGTTTTAGGATTGTCCGTGGAGTGGCTTTTTGTCGTGCTATCAGAGATATCCTGTGGTGCACTGCCTCCTTCCTGAGAATTATGCATGATCAAGGGCTGAGTGACAGACCAGCTTTAAAAACTCTCACCAGGACGCCTGTCGGGAAGAGCAGCCGTGTCTGCACGTCGTCTCTGGTGGAACGTTCAGCTTCCCTGAGCGGCTTCCTATTCTTTCAATCCTCTGGCCATTTGTTGATGAGATTGTGACTTGGATGGCCAGGCGCGCGAAGGATGGGGAAGAACAAGGTGGGAAGCTCAACAGTAGGTGCATAACTCCTTCCTTAGGGAGCCCCTGTCCAAGCAGGTACGCTCCTGGGCTTTTCGGGCTGGGAGGACCCCGGGACAGGTGACTGTGCAAGGGCACTGAAAGGTCACGAGCGATCGCCTGCAGGATCGCTGTGCTTCTTAACACTCCTGGTTTGTGCCCACAGGAAGCTGCTTGTCCCCGGCAGGGTGGGTGAATACGAGTGTGCCCTGTTCTCTGATCCCTGAGATGAGCCTTCTCCTGGCAGCAGGGTCGTGGCCTTAAACAAGGGTCAGAATTTGTCTGCTAGCACCAGCCTCCCAGATGGCAAAGGCAGCAGCACCTGCCTGGATCTGAACAGCACCCAGGAAGTCTCTGCTGCCGGACTCCTCACTCGCCATGTTGTCGTGTCCGAAGTTCCACCGGTAGAGAGTCATTTCTCAGGCCTCTTAAAGACCAGGCTCTTTTATAAATCACATCCCCTGAGCATCTGGCTCTGATGTCGATTCATCAGGTGTTTTCTCTTCCCCACCAGAAGGCCGACAGCATTCAGGGCACTCCGAGTGCCACACGCTCTGTATTCCTTATGTCGTCGGCCCTCCCAGGAGGCCTGGGCTGGGGGAGTCTCTCCCAACATGGTAGAAGAAAGGGGGACTCCCCAAGACCAGCAAACATCCCTAGGATCACACGGCTACAGGCGGAGTCAGGACTTAACCCCCTGTTCTGTCTGATGGCTGGGGTCAGCCTGCAGGTGCTGGAAGGTCCTGGAGGCCCCGCCTCCCCCAGGATCTTGGGGAAGAGAGGAAATGAGGGGAGGAGGGCAGGAAGGGCTGTCCAGGTCAGGACGCAAACCCGGGGGCTTTTCTGAGGACCGGCTCTGCATCCCTCCCTCCGAATCCCCCCTAAACACAAACAGGCCCTGAGCTCCTTGGACACCGGCCGAGTGTCATACAACAGGCCGTGTGACAAGAGGGGGCTGGTGTGAAATGCAAGGGGCGTGGGGGCAGGGAGTAGCCTCGCAGGCTCTGTGTGCTTCTAGAAGGACTGTGTGAAAATTCTGGACAGTGAGCGGAGTGAACAATAAAGGTGCAATGGAAAAAACAAGAAACTGCTCGTTGCTTTTGTTCCCCATGGCATTTGAAAATGTCAGAGTCATTCTTTGCCTCCACGTATTCATTATTTTGTTAACAAAACAAAACCGGATGTGACTGTGAAGTGTTTCCCTGGGACTGTAGAAGCCCTGGTGATTTTTCAAGTCTGCTCATTTGAAATGCATCGAGGGGAAACACTCTTTCTGGCCCGACTGGCCCACCGCGGGCTTCTCTCAGTTGGTCCTAAACCGTTGCTGGAGTAAAGCCACCGTCCAGGGGCGCCGAGCGCAGGCCCCCCTCACCCCCTCACTGGTCCGCCCATGCCTCGATGAGGCCCCAAGAACATGTTGTGGGCAAATGCACAGCTGCCCCAGATCTGATGGACTCTGACGGCGTGTGGCAGAGAGGTGTCCTCTGCCCTGGGTCTCCAGAGGTCACATGTGGCAAGCGCTTTGTGGCCTTGGCAGCCAAGGCAGTAACCAAAATGACCCCAGGACCCATGCTTCACCCACCCTGGGCAAACCTTTCGACCACAATCCCCGCGGCCCATGTGTTTCTCCTACCAGGCGAGGGAACAGGCGCAGAGAGGCTGGTGGCCTTCCTTGGCCACACGGCCGGGACACAGCCTTCTAGCAAGTTCCAGCATTCTTCTAGCTCCTGACCACGTCTCCGCGTGGCCCAGGCTGTGGGTCAGGGCTCCCGGGTTGCCTCTGGGCTGGTTCTGTGCAGCTCACAGCTTCCCACCAAGGCCACCACACTGCCGCCGTGCCTACAGCTGGGCTGGCCACAGGCCTGGTCTCTCTACCCGGGAAGGTAGCTCTGAAGGCCCTGTCCTGGTAGCAGAAGGCCCACATGCTCCCAGGGCGGCCTGGTGTTTTAGGGCTGCAAGGTGCTTTCCGGTCCAGAAACCACAAGCCTGAATCCCATCGCTACTCCATGTACCCTGGGTGACTGGGCTTCCCTCACCTTTCACGGGAGGAGCCCACCTAACTGACCCTTAAGTGCATCAGGTAGGTAAGCTCCCCTCACCTAACTGATGCAGAAAGTGTGGCCTGGAAAGGGGAGTCAAGGTCCCCCAGGACCGCGACATCACACCATGGAGTGGCACCTAAATCTCAGGCGTGGCCACCTCATCATCTAAGTCCCTGAATACAGAGCCTGGCGCGGGAGGGTGGGTGGGGAGGACGGGATGCCTGGGGACCATGGAGTTCGGTGAGAGGGACCTGGCCCGTGAAGGCAGGGGAGGGGCTGCAGGTCCCGTGGATTTTACAGGGGAGAGTGCGGGCCACTGAGTCAGCTGAGGCCGAGATGGAGTGGAGTCCCCACACCAGAGGCCTCCGGGAGCCTGGGGAAAGATTTGCAGTGAGAATTTTTTAAGTTCTGGTTGGTTATTGGGGGCTGGACCACAAAATCCTTCTCCCACCTCTGTTTCTGTGATTTTACCCCTGTTTCTGTGATTTCTGGGCCAAGCAAATTCCTGAGCCCTGTTCTGCCTCAGCCCCAGGCAGTGAGGCCCCACGGCCACAGGGAGGCCGAGAGAACCTGTGTGCTGATCACCCAATGGGCCTGGTTGACACAGCCGCTCCAGCCTCAGCTTCTCTAGCTGTGAGTCTTCCTATCAACCGCCCACATCGTCACACTTGGGAGAAAGTGACAAGTTTTTAAAATTCCATGTAATTTATTTTATTTTTTTTCTTGTTAAAGATTTATTATTTATTTATGCTTACAGAACTGGGGTACAGGCCAAAGGTGCAGGGGTGGTGAGAGAATTTACCAGAAGCAGAGTGGGGAGCAGAAGAGGCCGACTGACAAAGTACACTGCTGAGGGGAGCACTGGGGAGACAGAAGAGATCTGTCACACCATGTGGTTCACCTTGGGGCGGGGATTGAACTCACATTGAAGCGGCTGCTAGCCAGCAGTGCTAGCTCTAACCCACTGTGCCACCAGGGAGGGCCCCATGTAATTTTTTTTTTTTTAATTTAGCTCTTATTTATTTGTGCATACAGAACTGGGGTACAGGCCAGAGGCTCAGGGGCGGCGAGATGCTTCACCATAGACAGAGTAGGGAGCAGAGCAGGCAGACTGACCGAAGTACACTGCTGAGGGGAGCAGCAGGTGGGTCAGGAGAGGTCTGCTACGCCATGTGGTCACCTCTGGGGCAGGCGGGGATCGAACTCATGTGGAAGTGGCTTTAGCTTCTCAGTGCTGCGCTTTAACCCGCTGCGCCACCAGGGAGGGCCCCCTTGTAATTTTTTTTAATGAAAAACAGCTCCAAATCTCTGCACCCAAGCCCACTGTTCCTCTGGCGGGTTAACGTCAGCGGGGGCTGCGCTCTGCTGGGAGAGCCTTTGCCTGGATGAAACCTTGTTTATATCCCATTGCCTGCAGGGGGTACACTCTTGCTCTCTGCCCCTGAGCTCTCTGTGGTCAGTGCCACATTTCTGTTACTTGCTGCATGGAAAGACACTCCAGATGGTCCTCCAGGAAGCCCCAGACTGGTCCCCATTTACATCAGCGAGCTGGGCGGGAAGCCAGTGCCCAGGCACTTTCTCTGAACATGCTTCCACTTCAATGCTTCGGCCAAGCCCTTGATGGCTCTTCACGGTCTGCGCTTGCAGGCACCACTGTGCGCTTCCCTGGCTGCTGGCTGGCAGGCCTGTGCACCCCGGGCAGTGCTTGCCCTGAACCCCTCTGCCTTGCTCTTGAAAGCGTTACCCTGAGCATCCTGTGACCACTGGGACATCTTGCCACGGGCTCCAACGAGCCCTGGGGTCTTCACTGAGCCCCCTGTGGGCAGGCACATGAAGATGGGCTTCTGCGGCATGGCCCGAGTCTGTGCCAACCCTCCCTGGGCACGGGGAGCTGTGTCTGTTTGCGCAGATCACGTGGTCTCTTGGCTGGGTCTCCTCATCTATGAAAAGCTGATGGTGACACTTGGATCATCGGTGACTGGGAGGGGCCATCCCGGGGAGGCACGGTCATCTCCGGGAATCCTTGGGCCCCTCCTCCGTTCCCCCCTCCGTCTGTCCCTCTTTCTACCCTCTTCCCTGTCTTCTCTCCTCCCTTCTTTGGGCCCTCTCCCCTCCAAGCACCAAACCTCAGACCCTCAGCTCACTTTCCTTTGAACATTGCCTTCAGCCCTGCTTGTTCATTGAGCTTACGAGCTTCTCGCAGAGCATCAGAAAAACCCCCTGCCTCCTGGTGACATTCTCCAAAAACACTGGCCTATTAAGCACATTCTCAATATCTGTTTCAGTAGCCCAGACCAGCACATATATGTCTACATATAATACCACAGGTCGGAAAGAGAAAGTTCCAGGGGCCAAATTCCTGTCTCCTCCTCTGAGAATGCTCTTAGCGGGCCCCTGGCCTCCACCTCCCTAAAGGAAGTTCTGTTATGGGACATCACCAGAAATATTCCCCTGTGAGCTGGAAGTTCCTTGACATTGCTGTAGGACGATTCTTCCCTCTCACGGGAAGCAGATGGAATGAACAGATTTAATATTTTCTGTTCATACACAAGTTACACAACACTGTATTTACTTCTCTCCCTGTTGCCGTGATAAGTAATAGCACACAGTTTCTGCACGTTTTCCATTACCAGTCTCTGTTGGAGGTGTGCCTGCCTACTCTCCCCATTTCTATTGGAGAATCAGGGAGAGATTTTGTAGAATGAGAGGTAAGAATCATGGCTGAATGTTGAGGCTTGACTTCAACACCTGGGCATTCGACTGCCCCAATTCAGTGTCCTGCTCAGACCCCTTATTCCAGGTGAAGGCAGGAAATCATGGGGTAACAGCTGAATGGTCCTGAGCACTGTAGTGATTAAAAAATAACCAAAGGGCAAATCTGTTTCTTTGGGACTAAAAGCATCAAAGTCAGCAGATTCCAAGAAGTGAGTCAGCCTCGATTCTGGCACGGCCCAGGGATTAATAATCCTCACGACTCCCTCGTACCATAAGCATCTTCCCTAGAACGGGTCACGCTCAGAAGAGGAGAGGTGAGGAGGAGCCTCTCTGGACTAGAGGCTAAACACCAACTGGATGGTAGAAGGCGGAGCTTTTCAAGATCTAGCCCCTGCGCCGGGCTGAAGAAAATGGGTGCAGCTGAGATTTGAGGCTCACGCTGCTGGGGCTTTGAGGGTTACAGTGCAGTTGAGGGGCTGTGTCCTGAAGAAACCACCTCCCTGGCTCATGCAGCTCTGGCTGGAGCCTTGGTCTCTGCTGAGCAGCTGCTCTGGGTGGGGCACACGGCAACTGGCTGTGAACCAGCCTTTGGTTCTTTCTCGGCTCTTATTTTTCTTCCTCTTTGCATACATAGCTCCTGTGACTGTTCCTTCCCACGTGTCTGCCTGGTGGGTGTGGTGTGTGTTTGAACGCCCCAGTCCACGGCTGTCCTGTTTCATGTTTACCATGAGAGGCCAAGGCATAGACCGGGGTTTCTCCACATGGACCGGCCTCACATCCACGCTGAGGGGCTCGCAAGCCTCTTAATCTGCTGCAGACCAGGAAAGGCCCCATAAACCGCACAGCCCAGAGTGAGCCTGCAGGCTCCACTCGCGTCCCCCCGAGGTTAGCGTATCCGAGCCTTTGATCAGCCTCAAGGAGACGCATGTGTAGTGCTTTGGACCGGAGTCAGGGCACCCTGCCCCTCGGCTGTCAGCTCCCACACTTTTTTCCTAAGGTTATTGCCCAACCAGGGCTGGCCATGTTCTTTATTTGGTGACTTCATTTTCAGTTTTACAGTTCTCACTTTTGTGTGTGTGTGTGTGTGTTTATGATGTATTTATTCATTTATGCTTAGCGGCCAGAGGTGTGGTGGGCAAGAGGATTCACCAGAGACAAAGTGGGGAGCAGAATAGGCAGATCAATGAAGCACACTGTTGAGGGGAGCAGCAGGCGGGCCAGGAGAGGTCTGCTGTGCCATGTGGGTCAGCTCCCTGGCCGGGGATCGAACTCATGCTGCAGTGGCTTTGGAGAGCTTCATAATGCGG